ATTGTATCGAAAAATACCTGAATATGTTTTCAAATACTATTTCGGTACGGTGACGGTAACGGTAACGGTAACGGTATATGTTTTCAAATACCGCGGTATACCGATATAATACCGTACCGACTATCTACTCAACAATTACTTTTAATTCTAATATATTGTAAAAATCCATTACAATTTTGAAGCCCAAAATTAATACTTAAGTTGGCTACAAATACAAAAATACAAAAATAAAGGCTCAATTTCTCAAACCCACTATAACCTTATAGGCTTCTACCACGCTAACCTTAATGACTAATGAGTAATGTACAAATGTTAAGAAACAAGTCATCTTGTTCCAAGAGCTTGCAAGTCGTGATGGCTGGGCCGCTAAGTAGCTGACGAGTGAAGAGAGATACACTTATGTGACAAGTGTATCTACATAGGGATTCCGCGAGTCGAGACACACAACTTTGTCTCAAAGTCTTATTCAATTTTTAAAAAATTATAAAAATGACTAAATACACAATATCATATTAGGAATAAATGATTTTATATCCATGTTGTTTGAATAGTTTTTTTATAGAGATCACTATTGATTTAATTATATCTATATTGTTCAAGTTATTTTAGGAGAATGTGTTACTTTTTAATATGCGGCATGTTGAAATGCTTAAATATACTAATAATAATTATTGTTTAATATTGAATTGAGATCAATAGATTATTAATTGTACTTCGTAACACTTTAATAATAGATTTAATATGTCGCTAGTAATAACAATTTAGTATATTTCGTTAGTCTATGATAATTTTTTGTATTGGGAGACATGCACTGTAATTTATCGATACCGTACCGTTACCGAACCGAAACTTCGGTATACCGAAATGCGGTATACCGAAACTTCGGAAAGGTAAAGGTATGCAAATTTTGCATACCGAAAGTTTTGGTACGGCAAAGGTATGAGAAAAAATATAAGGTATACCGTACCGAACCACCCCTGAATATACAGCCCAAGCTGGATTTTTACTTTCTAAATTTAAGGAAGTGTTTGCGATTGCTTCTATTTTTTTTTTTTTGGAAGAATTCGGCTTATATTAATGACCAATAATTTTTCAGAATATGGGTCAAAAGATAGAAAGAAATCTGACAACCGTTATCCCTCGAACCAGAGTCGGAATTAATCGCCGCAGCAATAAAATCCGCTGATCCATTATTGGGAAACACAAAGCCAAAAACGGTCATCATATTCCTCTCATCCCCATATCCAAAATCAACGTCTTACAAACTGGTACGTAAACAAAGAAACAAACATCAAAATAAAAACAATAATTATTGAAGTAGCAAACAAAGCACAATAAAAAACACTCATGTCACAGCCAGAACACTCAACAATCCCTCTGACTTGTGATTACTTCTACTTTAAAAAAATGATTTTTTAAAGCGATTTTGAAGAAAGTGTTTAATAGTAAAAGTTGGTAGTGTTTGAGAAAAAAATGATTCTGAAAAAAGTAAAAGTTGGTAGTGTTTGATAAAATAAGTATTTTTTGTGTAATAGAAAAAGTGAAAAGCAGTTTAAAGCACCCTTCCACCTGTTTCCAGCTTTTAGCTTTTAAGTGATTAATTTAAGTAGAAGCTGTCATTTGAAAACACCATTTTCCGTTTTTTTTAATCCAAAAGCTAAAAAGCACTTTTTTCAAGCAAATGCAAACACTCCTTAAATTGAAGTTTAGTTATAAGTTGACACATAACGAGTGTTGAGTTGAAAGGGTAATTGCAGAGTTTTTTTTTCCATTTTGACACAGTAACCGCTAATCACAATTGTCGGGATTCGAATACAAGATTTACTCTTTGTAGCACTTTTGTCTATCAATTGAACTACGCTCCCCGACTTACTTTTGTAATTCTACTCACAAGCACAATGCACTACATTTCTAAATGCACTCACCAAATTAAAAATGAAATATAACAATAAAAACAATACTACTATCTAAATATCTATGCAATAGACCAAAATAAGACTTGTTTTGAATTTGGATAAAAATAGACTAATTATCAGTGAGTGGACAGAAACACTCATGTACTTAAATCATACTTCGTACTACGTAATTTTCACCCATCTCTCATGGATTTGCAACTCCTTCATTCTGTCATTGTCTCATCTCAATGTCGTACCGATGCGTCTTCTTCAATCTTCACCGCCTTGTCTCCCAATGCATCTCCTCTATCCAGCTTTGTGTGTTGCCTCTGTGGCCGCATGTGACGCCCTTCGACTTCTGTCGATGCTCATCCTTCCATCGTCATCGCCGCCAACCCAGACCATCATCACCTCCACCATTCGCATCGTCGGTATCGCTTTTGTTCTCTTTCTTTCTTCTCGTTCAGCGATGATGAAGCTGAATGGTGGTGACGATGGCAAGAAGTCAGCTGCAAACAAGGGCAGAGCTAGAGCACTAGGCCAGACTGGGCCGATATAAAGAATATTTTTTGAAATTTTTTTACACAGAATTTTTTACACTAAAAATACAGGCATTTTTAAAATTTGGGCTGGGCCAGGGCCAGGGATGGCCCTCCCCTAGCTCCGCCCACGGTTGCAAAGGTTTAGAAGACATAGGTAGCTAAGGTTTCTGGAATGCATGGGCGAGGAATGGGGTCTGTGAGGCTGTGAGGGATGTTGTGGCGTATTGACACGGGTTGGGGATGCAAGCATGGGTTGGGGGAGGGATGGGGAGTTGGGTAGGACTGAGGGATGGGGCAGAACAGGGGTATAATCGATGTCACTCACCGGGGCTACGGGCCACTGCTAGTGGGGCGTGGTTAATTGAGTTATCGCCGGCGGCGCGGGAGTGATGTGACTCAGCGGAACTGGACGGAGATGGTTTTAATTAGGTCAATAGATGATTGCAACTATAACTACTTGAGTACTTGACAGTGGTCACTATCTCTTGGTTATTGTGTTATATTGTGGTCACTGAGCCATTGGTCACTACGGGACAAAATCATATCACTATGACATTGATTATGGTAGAGTTGGTCAGTGTGAGGGGTCAACTGAGTGTAATAAGGGCAGAGTGGCCCCTTTAATCATTTATTGTTACGGAGTATTAAATAAAAAGTCTTTTTTTTCATTAGTTGATTTTCAGTAATATTTTATTCTCATCCTATTAAAAATTAATAATGAGGTGTTTGGAACTGATTCTGATTCTGCTTCTTTTTATAAAGTAGGAGGAGAATCAGAATCAGTTTTCTGAAGTTGGTCTCCCCCAACTTCTAAAAAACTGATTCTAGGAAAAAATTAGAGCACCAGAATCACTTCTACACTTTCACCAAACACTCCAATTTTTTATTCTGCTTCCTGAAGGAGCAGAAGTAGTTTTAAGAATCAGATCCAAACACCCTTGTATAGATAAAAATATATGATCCTTTAATTTATTTATCCAATCCTTTAATGAGTTTTTTAGAAGCTAGGGAAGATCAGCTTCTGAAAACTGATTCTGATTCTGATTCTACTTTGAAAAAGAAGCAAATCAGAATCAGTTCCAAACACCCCACAATAGATATTAGCAAACTTAGAGCAACTTTACTTTAAAATTGTTAGGAGTCTTAGGACCTTAGATTCAAACACATGCGTGTTATTAGTATCATTTCTTTGACAGAACACATTAGTATCAACTAAGATCATACGGAGTATTTAGTTGCAGTAGTATTAAGGATAATATATACAGAGTAGAGACTTTAAATTTTAAATTATGAGTATTTAGAAAAAATGATTGTATATAATACTTGTAAATACAGAGTAGTACTTATGTGACTGTTAATACTTAATAGAATAATACTATTTGAATTTGATGTGAATGTTCTGACTTCTGAGTTAATCCAAACCAAAAAAACTATGTTGAATTGCTTTACATATGGTCTTTGAACTCTCCAAAAGGTTGAATTCCCAACCTCAAGGCCCCCATGCTCTGGCTGACAGAGCATGCAGTAGACTTAACCAATCTTAATGGTGATAAAATTTATACTTGTACGCATCATAAGCCCAACCCAACATATAGAAGTTGTGACCACCACACGGCCGCTACAGGTTTCGACTGTTAATTGTTCTCCAACTTTCCCACGGTCTTTCAAGGTAGGCTATGATGTTGTGTGTCATAAGCTAAATCAACAATTTGCTTTTAATCGTTTGTTATTAAATGGGGTGGAGATATAAATGGGCTTCAAAGTCAATTTTGCTCAATCTATATAGTGTGCAGTCATATCCCCTAGTTACCAGTTAGTGCTGGACTCGGGCCGGTTCGGGCCCGGTTCGGGCCTGGGCCCGGCCGGGCCTCGGGCCAGGAAAGGGAGGCCCGAGCCCGAACCGCCGGTGGCCGGTTCCGGTCCCGGTTCCGAACCGGCCCAATTAATTTTTTTTTTTGTTCTCCTATTTAATCCCCTACCCCTCCCCCTCAACCCCAAACCATCCCAAACCACCTCAAATGGCCCAAAATACCTAATCCAACCTAAAACTTAAAAAAATTTCAAAAAAAAAAAAAATAAAATCCGGCCCGGACCGGGCCCGAACCGGCCGGGCCGGTTCACCAAAACCTGGGCCCGGGCCCGAACCGCCCAGCAGCCGGGCCGGGCCGAACCGAACCGGCGGACCCACCGGGCCCCGGGCCGGGCCGGGCCAAACAGTAACCGGGCCGGGCCGGTTCCGGGCCGGGCCGCCCGGCCCGAGTCCAGCACTATTACCAGTCCTTCCGGATTTTTTATTTGTTACATTCTTTTTTGGAAAGTATTTTTTGTTTGTTACGTTCTCTTTTCAATCATTTTTCTGATTAAAAATACTCAATTATCTTTACTTTTTCAAATTTTCATACTCTTTCACATTTCACACTTTTCAAATTTTCACACTTTACTCTACAATAGGATTGTACACAATATTTAAAAGAAAAATATTGAATCCTATTTTTGGAAAGTATTTTTTGTGTACAATCCTATTGTAGATTTTTATGCACGTATAAACTAAGGGATGTTCTCAAAGGTGAATTCTATGTTCTAATGTATGTAGATTTTTTATGAATTCTCTTAAATAATGGTTTTCTAATCTAAAATCTAAAAAGCACAAAATACATGTTTATCAAAAACTGACAACTTACAATATGATTATTGTGTATTACATGTGTACTGAAATATGACATATGAGTGACATTCAAAGTGCTGTTCCAAACTTTGCTGGCTTCTTTGGAACTCTAAAAGCAGCATGTAGAGCTCGAGTGAAATCAATCCCATGACCTTGATCCCCAAAACTACTCAATGGTGAAGATGATTGCTTCAGTATCTCAAATAGGGAAGCCCCACTTGATGTTTGTGCAACAGAGCTTTTGCTCTGAGTGTTGAACTTTGCTTGAGAATTGCTAAACCTAGGTGCATTGCTTCTGGTTGGATTATTTTCTTTTATAACCTGCAAAGTTAAAACAGAATACAAAACTATGGATGTAAATATCCAGCAAAAAACTGATAAGAGTGATTTAAAACATCAAACTATCAAAAAATGCAAATTTATGGTACTTAAACTCTAAAGATTTTAATTAATAATCATTTATGTTACCATGTCTGAAGAATCATCTGACATTGAGATTGAATTCCGGCTATTGCTGTCATCACGTTCAAAGATGAATGATCGAACAAGGCTTGAGCTTTGCTTGTGGGGTACTGGAATATGATGCTTTGATGTTCGGCCTAGAAAAGATGACTGCAACAAGTACCGAGGGAAAAACATAAGCATGCATATGCTTAGGCCAATAGTATGCAGGTTATGAATGAATGGTTTCAGATGACCAGATCTATTTGTAATTAAGAGCATATAAATATAAAAGGGGTGCTCCCAACTTACTGCAGAAAAGGGGACTTTGTAAATTTTTTAACTACTAAGCAGATTTTAGAAGAGAAGGTTTTTGTCACATGTTATTTGTAATTACAACTTCTAAACTTAACAGATTAAGAGTTTGGGAGACAACAGCTGGTCGAGTTCATATAATTTGATAATTTCAACTTCAAATATACAAATAGGCATATAAGGCATCATTACACATAGTGTGACTAATTCCAAAATAAAATCCAACCTTGCCATGATACCTAAATAAAAGTGTCATATTTTTTCACTTCATCCAAATAAAGCAAACTTGAACAGATTTTCTCTATAATCAAGTTACCAATCGACTTAGACAAGTCAAATAAAGTTACAGTGCGATACTAAAAACTAGCTGATAAGGCTTATAAGCAAAAAGATTTATGCCTAGAGAGCACCAAACCACAATTAAAACAAGATAAAGAATACACTAAAATGTCAATTAAAGAAGTGGTTTTACCTTTGAAAGACTATTATCTTTTGGGCCTCCTAGAATCTTGTCAAAGAACGCTGCATGAGGATAGGAACTATGAGGAATGATAAAACTCTAAATCCATAACATAGATAAAGGTACCAAATCATAAAACTTACATGGCGGTTTTGCTTTCTTTCTTTTGTCAGGAACTACATTATGTTTCTTTATCAGACCAAAGAGTGTTTTGGAATCCTCATCTTCAATTGGAGAAACTAGTGTAGTCTTTTCTTCCTGTTTTTAAAGAACATTAATGATGCAACTATGTGTCGTATAAGATTATAAAAAACAACCTAAGATGAATGGAGTTGGACTTACAGCTCTGATAAGGACACGCTGTTTAACGATCATCTTATCTTTTTCTTCATCATCATCTGATAAGAAAACATCATCTTTTTCCATAAACATCTGCGTTATTATTTGTTTTGCTTTTCTCTTATTTACCCGAGTACTCTTTGTATGTTCTCCTGCATCTTCATTAAAATCTTCACCCTCGCTATCTACTTGTTCTTCATCAAGCAATGTTGGTTCTCTATGATCTGAACCAAATTTCAATTTCTGGAGCAGATTTTCAGTTCCAGCCGCATCCTGCTGCTCAAGCCACTTCCTGTGAAGTTCATTGCGCCTCTCATTATCTGAGGGCTTTTCTTCATAATTAGTTGCAATTATATCTTTGACTGCTTCAAAATCTTCATCATCTTCATTTTCACTAAAGCGGTGTAAGTCATTATCACTGTCATCTTCTTCCTCAGCTTCCTCATCAAGAAATGCCTTAACTGGGTCACCTCTTGGAGAAGGAGCGTCTAGTTTAGCATCTTGATCTACATCATCCGTGTCATTGTCCTCATCTGAAGAGCTACAAACAGAGAAGCAGCGTTTCTAGTTTTAAGAGCGTCAAAAGCAGGAACTTGAGATGAAAGTAATTATAAGTGAAAAACACCTTTTGCCTTCAAACCATTATTGAAACTCACCATTCATCTGGAGGGAGAGAATCAAACTTCAAGTTCATAGCAAGAACAGATGGTGCCATTACTTCTTCCAATCGATTACTATCCTCTTTGCATTCAGGTATCTCATTTATCTCATCACGGTCTTGAGAATCACCAAAAAGATCCTGAATATTTGAATTAACATAACACAAGGATCCATCAATAATAAAATTGTTCATGATGGAGTTAGATGATAAAACCTCTTGCATGAAGTACAGCTAAGAAACCTGAGTATCAACTGGAGCTCGAAACATAGGCTTAGCAACTTCATCCAAAACCTGCAGTTGTATGATACAGATTAGTATAATAAGTTAATAGCAAGGACCCCATCAAGAAGGATTAATAATTTTAAACACTAATGCAGGTATTGGAGAATCTGTTTGGATAGAGGGTTGTGGAGGAGATTGGAGGCAAAGGCTTTGGATGCCTTAGAATGTGTTTGGGGGTAGATAAAACATTATAATCCCTTCGTCCCAATTTATTTGATATTTTTAACAATTTTCATACATGTTAAGGTTTTACATTACAAAAACTACGCTGGCCTTGTTTATCTACTCTTGTAGTCTCTCTAATCTCTACCTGTCATTTTCTATTCTAGAAGGGATTAAAAATAAGAGTAGTTGGGGAAGAAAGCAGATAGTTGTACCTTGGAATCTGAAAAAACAAATTTATTTGGGGGAAATAGTTAGAAGCTAGAATGTCAAAATCAACATGATAATTGATTGTTGTTATAAATAATTATATAATAGGTAGGAATTAACTAAATGAGAGTTAGTTTATCTTTGGGAAAAATTTGCTCAAAAGTGGCTTAATGTAATATTAATCAATATCATTTGAAAAAAAGATGTCTCAACAGATGAAAGAAAATAAGGTCCTAAAAAACAAACTACAAAAAACCAATTTTTCTTGAACAGCTAGAATTTCATGGAATTTTTTTCAAATATAACCAATCATCCAAAGATGTTGGGTTTTAAAAAGGAACTGAAATTATTCCCTAGCTTAAATGCGGGTTTCCAAGACATGCTTTTAGTCTCTATCTTGATAAAGATTCTAACAATCAAGATAAAGACTAAGCATTCTGAAGTCTTCCCATCCAAAACCTCCATCTAACAGACCCTAAAAATGTTTCGATTGCAACAAAGTTCATACTATATCCCTAAACGGTTGACTTGGAACACTTTCACAATTTTCATTGACTTCAGAATCTGCAGGACCAGTTGCATCATCTTTTAAATCCTCAACATGTGACCCTGTCTTCTCTTTTGTCTTCTTTTCTGATCTTATTACAATGATATCATCTTTATAGGTGTTGTCAACGTCATCCTCGTCCATAAGTTCTCTCATATGACCATTGATTGTATGAGAAGAAACGGTGTTGCTTAATGTGATATTTCTATATCCAAAAAAATAATGAAAAGATCAGCAATTTAAGGTACAAGAATGTCAGGTAGAAAGATTGCATGCTATCTAAAAGATTTATAGAAACCTACTTTTTAGAGATCTCAAGCTTTCTCTGCCGGATCTTTTCCAATACTGATGATATGGGCTTATGCACGATTGGTATAGGCTTAAATGAGGCATCCCTTTTTTCTATTCACAACAGAAAAGTAAACGAGTATATGTAACAAAATCATAATAAACTGTTATCACCACTCAAATTAAACTATCCTTAAAACAATGAAAATAAAATATCATGGTTAAAAAAGAATTGAAGCCAACAGAATCACAAACCTCGTAATATCCGCTGGGTTTCAACATGAATCTGCTGCAAATTCTGTTTCCTTTCCTGCATAAATCCATAACAAATCAGCCCAGTCAAATGCACATCTAGTCATCTAGCAATGGATCACTGATGGGAGAGTACATATAAGCAGATACAAGCACCTTTCGTTCTCTCCTTTTATTAGAAGCGGGCTCTTTGGGCTTTGATTCAGCAGCATCGTCCACATTATGCTTAGCCTTCTTGCTCTTACTTTTATCATTTCCATTCGAATTCAAATCTGCATTGCTCCTTTTGTTTTCTGTTTCCTTGGGCTTGTGGTTTTCGATCCCTTCCATAGTTCCTTCACTCCCATCGCCAGTTTTACTCAAAAACTCCACTGCCGGAGGTTCCAGGTCTTCCTCGATTTGTTCACATTCACCGACAGATCTCAGTCCTGGATTCGGATTCATATCGAGCCCATTATCCTCGTGGAAACTCAAAGCTCGGCGGCTGTCTTTCCTATTTTCGGGTTCTAACTCACACTCATTACCGTGGCTTTTATCTGACGACAGAGGCTCCTCTGAATCATCGGATTCATCTTCTAGGGATTTTGAAGCTTCCAAAGCTTCCAATTTGGCAAAATCGACATCGGGAAACAAAAAAGTATCGTCAGTTGAACTCACATGAGGATCTTTCAGGGCTACTCCGGGTTTCTTTAAGCGTTTGAAGCTTGGATTTTTAAGCACCAGTGATGGTTCTTCACAAGGTGAGAACGACTCAAAATCGTCATCGCTTTCCATCGGTTGTTCCTGAGAATTGAAATTAGGGCTTATAATCGGGCCTCCTGAGAAACGAAGAATGTATCCGATTGAAAATGAGGATGAAATTGCGAGCAGAGACTATAGAGACGGTGAGATTGAAGTCTAGGTAGGGCTTTTAGTTTTTTGGCGGCAAATGTTTCAAAGTTTAGGGAAATGAGCGCGCTGACGGGTTTCCCAGCACTATAAGGACGTGTTTGATATCTTGGTTGGCGCTAATCACCCGCGTGTTTGCTCATTTCATTTTAAATTTTGAGCTAAAAAAAAAAATGAATGCATAATCTAGTACTCCCTCCGGTTTTATTTAATCTTCACACTTTGACTTCACACAAAATAAGGAAAGAAATTTGACTTTACTGTAGAATACACTGTTGAGGCACTGTTTGACACTGTTTGGCACTGTTGAGACACTGTTTGGCACTGTTGAGACACTTTTTAGCACTGTTGGGTACTGTTTGGCACTGTTTTGATGTAGATTTCTTTGCCAAAAAGGAAATAAAGGAAGTGCGAAGTTTATTTTAGACCGTCCCGAAAAGGAAAGTGTGAAGTTTATTAAAAACCGGAGGGAGTACGTAACTACGTACTTCATAAAAAACATTTTTACGACCTTTCTTTAAAAAAAATCTCAAACATATTATAGTAGTATTAAAATAAAATTTATTTACAAAAATATAATTAGAAGTTATTACTACAATGTGGTATCATAGTAACCTAAGTTTAAAAATTGAACATAATTACTATGTTTTCATATCTACTCTATTTACTAGACACATTTTTGTAAATAATTTTTATTTTAACCATACATATGAAATCACGTAGTATTTCTTAAAAATCTCATAAATCATCTCAAATGTAGGCGGGTGCACAATGAGTTCTGATAAAAAAAAACTTCCGATCAAATTTGTTATCTACCACGAGAATGCAATAACATACATTTGACCTAAAATTTTCCCTACAAAATAGGAGAAATTTGTCCAACATATGATCAAAACTCAAGCTTCTTCCCAAAATAGCACCACATGTATGTTTTCACCTAAATAAGACTAACCTCACATATTTTACCCCAATTCTATATAATTATTTAATTGACCTAAATAATTGCACCCTTATCTTCCTTGCACAATCAAGGCAGTCTGTAGGTGGCAGGGCAGTCTGTGGTGGCGACAGCACTGCGGCAGATTCCGGCAGAAGCGGTGAATTCCGACGGTGCCGGGTGGCGGCAGAAATGCTGGCAGACCGTCATAAAAAAAAATTGAAATTATTCTGACGGGGGTAGCGGTCCGACACTCCAACATTGGTAGATGGTGGTTGGCGGCAGGCAGGAGTCCAGGGACAGCAGTGGAGGTATTTTGGTCCAATCATAAATAAAAAGTCTTATTTAAGGATGTTTAAACTAACGTATTCTATTTTGAGAAAAAAATCATGTTTTGCTCCTACTAAGATAAATCATCCATAAAATAGAGAGTTAGGTGAGAGTATATTGGCTTGGACCCCATGACCCACATACTTAGACAGTCAACAAACACCAGAGAGACACCCACGTGGCACCCTTCGGTCTAATGGGTCCCGCAACGGCCAGAACCGGATCAGTCCAGGACGTCATCAAGACACAAAGGGACCGCATCGGTCCAGGGACCGCATCAGCCAGAATGTACTCTCCTACTTTATTTACTAAGTATTGTACTTAGCCCATTAGTGGCCCTATTCCGCCCAAAGAAGACATGATTTTTGTAATGGGTCCCCTAAGCCCAAGGCTAGAGGCCCAAATCCACATTTTTACCTATAAATAGGCCTCAAGAGGCTAGTTACAGGGGATTGAGAAAATATTAATTACTCACTTTCTGCTCTAGCTCTCACTTCTCTCTAGAATTAAATACTCTATCATTAGGTAATATTATTCTCAGTTTGACTTGTACAATTAATAATAAAATAAAATTTGTGATATTCAAACTTGCACATATAAAAAATTAAGAATTAATTCCACTTTTGGTCCTATGAGTTTTATGTCATTTCCACATTTAGTCCACGTCTTTCATTTTGTCCACTTTTGGTACTTGACTAATATTTTTTGACCATTTTATATCCTTTTTCGGCAATTTTAAGCACCGGAATAGTTGACGGAAGGACCATATGTGGGTGAAAACACAATAGTGATGTACCGAAAGTGATCAAAGTCAAATATGTGAACCAAATGTGGAATTGATGCGATACGTATATGACCAAAAGTGGAATTGGTGTGATACTCATAGGACCAAAAGTGGAATCTATTCAAAAATAAATAACAGAGATAAAAAATCAATAGATTAAAAAGAATATAGTAAAATATTTGAGTCAAATTGAAAAATGAAAGATAACCAAATTTTAAAGGATGCCAAGTATTTTAAAATATTTGTTAATTGGACGAAACTTGTTTTTTAAAAAGGGTGCCAAATATTTTGTGGTCTGATGACATCAATGTGGCACTTCCAAAGAGTGAGTCACAGGTTCGAATCACATCCCAATTCAAGGATGTTGACATTAACATTTAACAGATCTTATATAGGTTAGAAAGAATTGAAAAAAAAAACATATCCAAAAGGGCCAATATCTGCATTGTGGGTTAGTTTCTGGTTCGCGTGGCCCAACAGAATAGAAACCCTAGCGTAGCTGAAAAGCTGTATTAATAGTTGCGTTGTCTTCAAGCCAAAGGAGTTCATCTTCTTCCACGGCGCTTCTCTCAATTCCCCTCTTGATTTCGTCGTTCAATACGATTCGTACATGAAAGCGATTTGGTAGACGATATGCATAACGTATCTGTGTGCGTGTTTTTTTTCAAACCTGTTTTCGTTCGATCGATTTGTTTAAGTGAGAAAAATGCATTGGATTTACCATCTCCTTGCGACATCCATGTTCGTTCAAGGAGATAGAACTGATGCAGAGAGTTAATTGAGGTTGGCTTACCAGCCCATCGCACCTTTCTCTATTGCCATGGCGTCAAATGGACCTACCCATATTTTCGCTGCACAAATATTTTTTAAGATTTGGTTCGTTTTTGTTTGAAGTAAATTCCGAATTTCTTGACTCTTTTTTAATAAGGGCAATGAAGATTATTGAGATATGCAAAACGCTGAATACATGGTGTTGATTATATACTCCGCTTATTATCTGATGCCTTTTGTTCAATTCTATGCGAAATTTCAACCTGTTTAAACAATATGTTCAGTATCATAGTAATCACTGATGCGAAAAAGCGGACGGGCGGTCAGAAACTGATGCCGTGTTGAATGTCTGCAATGCTTCCTATACGGGAACCTGTCTGAGATGACTTAAATACTTTTTCGAAACCTGCTGTTGATGTGAGTATTATGTTTTGTTTTTTAACTTTGAAGGGCCAGTTTGCAGTGATGATTTTGCTTAATTATGTCTGGACTTATGATTCTTGAACATGATTAGTTGCTATGCAAAATTCTGAGCATCATTTTAGCAGTTCATACTTGCCGGAGTGATATGGTATTTTTTGAAAATTTTAAGTGAGGTTTTCCATTGTTACGTAGGTTTTCTTTGAAGTTTGAGCAGCTGCAAATACATTTAATTTCCCAAGATTTTTTTTGTTTAGTAAAATGTTTTTTAATCGGTTAAAAAGATTGATTTTTTAATTAAAAGTGGTGTTGTTCAGTTGTTCGTGAAAGCAGTTTTTTAGAATCTGAAATTTCTGATTCTCAAATCACTTTAAATTGTTACCTCAATTTTTTGTTTCAAATACTCGTACGATGTATTTCAACTTTTACTTTTTTATTAGAATCAGTTTTTGCTTAAAAAATTACCATTTAAATATTTATCCAAAGCACATTCTATTGAAGCACTAAAATAAATCACTTGAAACCCACCTTTTTTTGAATACTTGAACCACAACTATTGCAATTTCCTTCATGTTGTCTTGCACGGATCGTCTTACAATCACTTGTCAAAGACCGAATGGAACATAATGGAATAATTCAGGGATCCATAATTTGAAGAACTTTTTTTTATAAGAAACACCAAAATAAGTTAAAATTCACTACGTTTGAGTATTTTTAAATAGCGACCATTTGATTTTGGATCTTGTGTTTTGGTTGATGTTCGAGTCTTCCTATTTTTTAAATCATGAATGAGTGGAGTTCAAAGTAAAACGGTTTTGGGTGAATTGGAATGCATACATTTTGAAACGTTGTTATATCAATTTCATTCACATATGTTCCATAAATATGTACAAGAGCGGTAGGGATTAGGGCTACACAATATGGAGATCTGCATATTGCATAATGCTCTTTTGCAAGCACATTGTTAAATATGAACAATTATGTTAAAGGTTTCAACATCCTTCTACTTTTATCTGCGGATTGCTACGCACATGTTGTACAAAAATGTCATCTAGTCGTGATATCCAATTTGCTGTACAACAATTTAAGAAAGTATAATGTCACCTACTGCTTGTCGTAGAGAACAACAATTACTGAGCCTTCCGAACAACTATCAAAAATAACGCTTTCGAATGCTAAATTATGCCAATATTTGTGCTTCATGGTGATAAAGGGTGTGTTGAATGTCTCACATTCGATGGGGATAAGGATCAGTTTGGTCCTCGAAGTTGCAAAAAAGGGATCAAATAAGTTCTTATATAGAAGATTCTGTCTGAACGTGTTATTTGAGGTGGCTCCCGATGGAATTTTTTGATGGAATTTTTTGAGCATCTCATTCATTAAGTCTAGTTTACTCATACCAAATTTCAGATAAAATTTCAATTGGAAAGATATTCAAATGAATTCTTGAAGATAATTGTGTCGTTAAAAGCGCTGTTATCTTCAAGAATTCATTTGGATGTCTTCCCGATTGAATTTTTAGTTGAAATTTGGTATGAGTAAACTAGACTTAATGAATAAGAATATAAGATGCTCAAAAAAATTTATCACAAAATTTCACCGGGAGCCACCTCAAATGGCACGTCCGGACAGAATCTTCTATATAAGGATTTATTTGACTCCTTTTTTGCAACTTCGAGGACTAAATTGACCCTTTACTCCATTCCGATACTAGATGATTTGATATCATCATCATCTAGCGTGAATCCAATGAAATCATCACATTTGCATCCATGTAGTCTTACTATGTGCGTCGGAGTAGTGAGAGACCGTCAATCTTGCAAA